TAGAGAAATGCTCTGCCGTTCATAAAGAGAAATGTTTAGCCCTCCATATAGAGAAATGCTCAGCCGTTCATAAAGAGAAATGTTCAACCCTCTATATAGAGAAATGATTATCCTCGTGTCATTATGCTAAAATGTAAAGGTGGAATCGATCAAATCCAATCCTTGCCTATAAACGACCACAAAAGTTTTATCATTATGTTTTTGATGTGCTTGCTCGGCAAAGGGATTAAGACTGGCTCGCAATGTGAATTTCATTTTAAAAGACTTTTGTAATCTTTAAAACTTTAATTTAAAACTTGGAGATTATTCCACAACATTCTGACAAGTTTTCTACCGTGAGTCTAAGGTCCTTAGTCACCGGTTGCTTTTGAAAAGTTACCAATCTACCTCCAAACACCGACTCTCATCCGCGAGTAAGCTGTTCTGTAGTCTCTGGTTTTTTATCACTGGTTGCTGGTGCCTGATCTCTGATATCTGGTCTCTGATTACTGGTCGTTGGTTTCTGATCTCACTCTGGTCTCTGATGTGTACATGTTCCCTGATCTCTGGTCCCAGGTTTCTGGTTTCTGATCCCTGTCCTCTGATCCCTTGTCTCAGTTCCTGATCTCCAGTCCCAGGTCTCTCGTCCCATGTCTCTAATCCTGATCTCTGGTGGCTGGTTGCTGATCTCTTGTTTACTGTCTTTGGTCTCACGTTCCTGATCCCTGCTCCATTGTCTCTGTTCCTTTTCCCCTCATCGCTGGTCTCTGATCCCTGGCCAATAGTCTCTGGTCCTTGTCCCTGTTCCCTCTTGCCTGTTCTCTGATTCCTGGTCCATTGTCTCTGGTCCTTGTCCTTGTTACCTCATCCCTGGTCTCTAATCCCTGGCCCATTGTCTCTGGCCCTTGTCCCTATTTCTCCTTACATGGTCTCTAATCCCTGGCCCCTTTTCTCTGGTCCTTTTTCCCTGTTTCCTCTTCCCTGGTCTCTAATCCCTGACCCCTTGTCCCTGGTCCCTGTCTCGTGTTCCCTCTTCCCTGGTCTCTAATCCCTGGCCCCTTGTCCCATTCCCTTGTTCCCTCTTCCCTGGTCTCTAATCCCTGGCCCCTTGTCCCTGGTCCCTGTCCCTTGTTCCCTCTTCCCTGGTCTCTAATCCCTGGCCCCTTGTCCCTGTCCCTTGTTCCCTCTTCCCTGGTCTCTAATCCCAGGCCCATTGTCCCTGTCCCTTGTTCCCTCTTCCCTGGTCTCTAATCCCTGGACCCTTGTCCCTGGCCCATTGCCCCTGTTACCCCTCCTTCCTCCCGATCTCATGAACCCGTTTGGGATTTTGTGACAAGTAACAAGCTTGCATCAGGACGGGTTCCGTTGATGATTGAGATGCTGTATAAGTCAACGTGGCTAAGCTAACGACTTGGCCATTGATAGGAAACAGAATAACTGTGTGTGTGTGATTGCGCACATTGCATACTTTACTACACCATGGTAACGCACAACATGTGTCCTCCGAGGCGTGCCATCTAAGAGAATATCTTAGGCTTGTGGTGTTGGGGAAAGCCGGTTTGGACTTTCGTGGTGATGCACTTTTAAAATAGCAGACGCCATTTGTTCCATTGGAAATTTAATATCATAAAAGTTTGTTTTTGTTTTTTAAAGAACTATGAATTTTGTTTAAAATAAAGAACTCCTAAGTATCTCATCCATCATTATGAACACCGCACTAAAATTTAAATCTGTCGTCTCAGTCTTCCGACAAGCAAACATTTCTCTCACACAGGTCTGTATATATTCCTTACCTTGGCGATGAACAAAGAAGATTTCTCTCCGAGATTACCCCAATAGTAAGTACGAACTCTGTGAATGTCAAGTGTTGCACGTATCACAGATCAGACAGCGTAAAGGACCAGGTTGAAACATGGGTTGGCGCGTTACATGAAGCTGAAGATGCAGTAAAGCACATAGTCTTGTTGTCAGTGGCGGCACTATTATTAGATACAAAGATCAGGTCATTTCATGTGGGAGAGGGGCGGAGGGCCAGCAGCCAAGCTTTGAGGAACCAGTTTTAATAGTCATATGGATTTTAAACATACGTAATGGTGGTTAGCAATGAATATATGAGATATGCGTAACTTACTAGATTTTAAAAATTAAAATTCTTTGTCAACGATGTGTCTCAGAGCAGTATCAATGTTCTTAACTGTAATATTGTTTTGTCACCTCAATTATCGTTAGGGGGGGGGGGGGGGGGGTGAGGGCTCAAAAAGTCGTGATGCCAGGGCCTCGCCCAACCTCTGATAAAAAAATAATAATAAATCACTTCTCAAAACAAATGGTATCATCAGTCGTTCTTACGCTTATCTTTCAGAGCTCTGACTACCACTACAAATTCGTAATGTCCGGCAAAGTGACCAAACAAAGCCTGAAGCTCAAAGACATTGTCGAGATCTCACTGGATGGCGAACAGCGTGGTGATAAAACGCAATATTTAGACAGATACTCTCAACGGAGACCGCCACACTCCGCTTATGGTTTTCCAAAAAAGTTTGCTAAGCGCTGAAGTTTTTTTGTGTGTTTTTTTTTTTTAGCACTGGAAATTTGTGCAAACGGCAGTCTCGTTAGAAATACTTCTTTGTAAATATTTGATCACTCACCTTTCCTATAACCCCAATTAGCACTTACTTTGCCACCCACTTCCCACGTGACCCCACTGTGTCATTTCGGGTTGGAAATCACATTCAGATGCTTATGTCTCTGGTTTGCGAAACGCTGCACAGCTAACATATCATACACAATTTAGTTGAAAATGTTTTTTGTAACGTTGTCCAACTTTGCTGGAGTTGCCAATTGCGTAAATATGTGTAAGGTAACGTCGTAGCATTGGCGGTGATACAAAAAAAAGACGACACAACTTCCGTTTGAATAGAGAGCGCTTAAAAACAGTGCAGACGTGGAAATAACCCCCCACTTTCCATGGTATTTACTAAGAGAAACTTTTTAACAAACTCGATTTATTTATTTTATTTCTTTACCCCTCAGAGAATAGCGAATTTCGGCAACATTTTTGTTTTCCAAATTTGTACAGCATTTTCAGGGCGTATGGCAAATTATTCTCTCCTTTTCGAAACGTCTCGTTTCAACTTTAATCTTCAGAGCCCTTCAGGTGTTTTCGTTTTCTCAGTCATTTTCCCAGTCTTAAAATGACAAGTCTGTTTACCTGTGGTCAAGCCGATGTGGCTTATGACATTACGTGTAAACAAGACGGATGAGATCATTAACCTTTTTTGTTTAAAGTATATATCGTTGTTGTTGTTTTTTTTAAAATAAAATTAAAATAATTTACGTAGAAAAATTCTATTTATTTAGAAAATTACGGCAAATGACATATTACCCTATTGCTTGGTATTATTTTAGTGCAATTTTTCTTTTTTTTTTTTTTTTTTTTATACTTTTTTTTTTTTTTAGAATTTTTCAAGCTTTTTTTTACCATTTGATTTAATAGTTTTCGCTTCGATGAAAGCAATTTAATTTAAACTTATTTCCGTTACGGTATTTTTTTTTTTTTTTTTTTTTTTGTGATACTTGTTTATTTATTTAGAATGTTTCAAGCGTTATTTACACATCAGATTTAATAGTTGTCGCATCGATGAAAGCAATTTAATTTAAACGTATCTCCGTGACGGTTGAGTCAGTAACGACTGTTACAGAACCACTGACATATGCACGTGTTGTGCAGAAACGTCTCAAAGTCGTATGTCATGTCAGACATATCGCCGTTATCTCAATATGTGTGAGAAGATAACTGTTTTTTTTTATTTTATTTTGTTGTTTTTTATTTATTTTTTTGTTAAATGTGTTTTTGTTCATTTAGAAACTAGATAATTACATTTAAATAATTAAATATATAATTTTTAAACGTCTTTTTCATTGTAAATTGTTCATTTGACTTCACTGTGAACTAATTGCTATTTTGACGCATGTGAATTAAATGAGTATTTAAATTTGTTTTTAGTCTCGTGAGGGTGCCTGGAGTAATTCTACTACCGTTGAATACAACTTTCAATGAAATAATTCAGTCTTCAGGTGTAAAAGCTTGTTGAAATTTTATTCAATGTACATAGTCAGCAGCAAAGACCTTTTTTTTTTTTTAATTTGGTGATTTTAAGATCGATTTTTTGTTTTAAACTTTTATATCAACCTATCGAAAAAGAGCAGCATTGATTTACACAAGGTATTTTAACGCCAAAAAAAAACCAATCCCCCCTCTTGCATTGAAATACCTTTTAATAATCACATTGAGTGCATTCACTGATTGTTTTTGGTATCACTGTTTTGAAATGGTTGTTTTGAACAGACTTAACATATTAAACTTGCGTTAGTATGTTGAAATGACACGTATGGGTGGCAGGTTCTCGTATGAGTTATATGTGCATGGGTTTTTTATTATAGATTCAACTCAATCACAAAAGAAAATATTCTCATTTACATGCACTCATATGCAATTGAAAAAGAAGTATTCGAACAAATTCACTAGACTAAAATGGACCTATTTATTTTCATCACAATATTTACTTAAAGGAAATCCAATCCTCACAAGTGTGACACGTCAAATGCTTTTAGAATAGGAATGGATTGTATCAACGTTTTCTTATAAATTTTAGATCTCGATTCTAAAGACTGTGAGATCTTTGTTAGCACAAGATCATTTTATGGTTGAAAATTAAAATCTGGTTACAATGTTCCTGTGTAGGCTTCATATCACGTGCTTATATGTAGTCACATAAAGACGACGCTTCTGCAGCCTTTAAGTAAGTCATGCAAGCAGCCTCTGTCAAATGCATGAATGACAATGTGGTGCATCGAAATTCTACGTCATCTAATCCTTCAATGCAACAGTTGTTGCTTCCCCCCCCCACGTGCTTTTATTTAATGCAAATTGGAATGTGGATCACTCGTCAAAAGTTAATAAAATGAGTACAGTAAACTAGCAGTCCAGCTGTCATCAAATGTACAACCTTGAGCTGATACTATTTCAACAACTGGGTCATGTGTTTAAATTCCAGCTGAATATTCTCTAAGAGAGATAAATCGCTCATGATTTCTAAAGCAGTTAGCGCGAGTGCCTTCCCCTGGTTTTGTGTCGGTTCCTGTGCCTCATGAGAACCTAGGAAAGTAGAGGGGAAAAAAAGTATTATTATGATTATTATCCTTAACATTTCTTAAAGAATCAAACAAGTGGAACCACGAACGAAAGGTAACTTCACAGAATACATTAATATCTTTCCACGATAGTGACCAGTGGCGGAGCTAGCGTTTAGGCCTCCCAGGGCGGGCCAAGATTTTTGCTGCCACATATTCCACGAAAAATCTTTGCTGTTGGTCGAAAATGCTCCCCTGCCCCTACCCCACCCCCATAAAGGGAAAAAAATAAAGAAAGAAAAAAGTGCAGCCAGGGTGGATAGCCCCCTCCACCTCCTCCCACGCCACTGGTAGTGATTAGTATTTTGGATGATGGTTCTAGAATGACTTTTTTATCATTCGGTATTTAAGGTTTTGACACGAAATGGCCTTGCTGCTGAAAACAAATCAATAGCAAACAATTGAACTAAAACCGTTTTACAACTTGAATCAACGCATTAGACGGAATAACATTTCCTTACCTGCCACTGCACAGACAGACTAACATTACCTTATATGTCACTGAACAGACAGACTAACATTACCTTACCTGCAACTGCACAGACATGCTAACATTACCTCATATGTCACTGAACAGACAGAATAACATTACCTTATATGTCACTGAACAGACAAACATTACCTTATATGTCACTGAACAGACAGACTAACATTACCTTACCTGCCACTGCACAGACAGACTAACATTACCTTACCTGCCGTCACATAGACAGGCCAACATTACCTTACCTGCCGTCACATAGACAGGCCAGACTTTTCCCTCACCTGCAACTGCAGTGAATTCCCTTGTATGATTGGATGCCTCTCCGATGCGGTACATGGGGTGTATGCTGGGCACCACGTAGCTAACATTGCCCATGTCTGTCGAACCTGCGACTCCGTTGTCGCCACGGGGACCTGGGGAAGGCTCAAATCGTGGGAGGTGCTTGTCGTACACCTGTAGCATTGCCTGGTTGGACTGCAAGTCAGAGTACACGTAGGGCTCCCAAGAAATGTCAACCTGTTGTTGTTTTTTTTTTGTTAGACATATTATATTACGTCTTGTTGAAAACTCATGGTGAGAACTTCAGCATTAGAAAAATGAATGAATTTTGTGCCTGGTAATGATGAAGATGTTACGATAGAATTCATTTAGTCCATATCAGTTTTCCCAAAGTGCGGTAAGGGTATCCCTAAGGGTACGGGAAGAGTTTGGTGGGGGTATGCGATGCACCGGAAAAAATTAATATTGTTTTATTTAGAGACCGACCGAATTTCGGTTTCGGCTTCGGTTTCGATGCCGAAAGTGGCCATTTTATGACTTTCGGCCAAGTTTCGGTTTTGGGCCGAAACTGAAAGTTAACTTTTGGTTTAATTTTGGTTTCGGCCGAAAGAGAAAAGTTAACTTTCGGTTGTTGTTTTTTTCGGTTTCGACCGAAATTCACGTAGACTCTCTGCCAACTGACCGAAAGTGACTGAGGTTTTTGGTTATCTAATTCTCAGCAAAAGCAATATTTAACAAAAAACTAAGCGACATTTAAGAACAAACTAAAAGATCTTTAAAAACAAATAAAGACGATCTTCAAAGCAAAAGCAATATTTAACAACAAACTAAGCGATCTTTAAGAACAAACTATACGATACTTAACAACAAACTAAGTGACATTTAAGAACAAACTAAACGATCTTTAAAACAAACTAAGCGATCTTTAAGAACAATCTGAGCAATCTTTAAAAATAGACTAAACGAGTTTAAAGAACAAACAAAGCGATTTTTAAGAACGAACTAAATGCTCTTTAAGAAAATCACTAATGATCTTTAATAGTAAACTAAATAATTTATAAGAATAAACTAAGCGATCTATAACAGAAAACTAAACGTTCTTTAGGAAAAAAACTGAAAGATTTTTAAGAACAAACTAATCGATCTTAAATAACAAAATCAATTATCTATAAGCAATCTTTATGAAAAAACTAAGCAATCTTCAACAACAAAATAAGCGATCTTTAAGAACAAAATAAACGATTTTTTAATAACAAACTAAAAGATCTATACAAACAAACTAAATGATCTTTAAGAACAAACTAAATGATCTTTAAGAACAACTAAGCGATATTTAAGAACAAAATCAATGATCTTTGAGAACAAACTTAGCGATAATTATGAACAAACTAAACGATCTTTTAATAACACAAACTAAGCGATTTTTATGAAAAAACTTAGCGATCTTTTTTGAACAAACTAAATGATGATCTTAATAACAAACTAAAAGATCTTTAAACAAAATAAATCGATCTTTAAGAACAAACTAATTGATCTTAAAAAACAAAATAAACGATTTTTAACAACAAACTAAGCGATCTTTAAGAACGAAATAAACGATCTTTAACAACAAGATGTTATAGTAGACGTTTGTTTATTAATATTCACGATTATCTCATTTTTTATAAAAAGAATGTAAATATTTATACTTTCCCCCATCATTTTCGATGTATGCAGAATGTGTGCAGGAACGAATTTCAAAATATCTAAATAGTTCATTTTCGGTTTCGACTTCGGTTTCGGTCGAAAGTGATTTTTAACTTTTGGCCTTTTTTTCAGTTTCGGCCGAAAGTCATTTTTAAACTTTCGGCCTATTTTTGGTTTCGGCCGAAAGTCATTTTAAACTTTCGGCCGAAATCAAAAAATCACATTCGGTCAGTCTCTAGTTTTATGTTATTCAAGTGCATGCAATTCTTTTATTAACGAGGGGTACTCAGTGTTATGTAAATTATAGACAGGGGCACACAGGTGTCAAAACTTGGTCTATATTATAAATAACGTTTTGACAACAATTTCCGATGTAAGAAGTGTTTTTAAAAGCAATGAATGAAGTCTAAGAGGTAATTCTAAAGTCTAATTTTTTTTAAATATGAATTCAAATAATAGTGACGTCCCATGACTGTTTTTTATTCACTCAATAAAACTCCGTAGGCAAACATGCTAATCTCAAAGTTGAAAGAATCTGTAGTTGTGCAACATGGTAGTAAAAGGGGAGGAGACTGCAATCGTGTTAGGAAAAGGGGAAATTAGTGAAACAAAGTATGAGTAAAACTATGTAAATATCAACAGCTTGGTATTGTTATGTTACCGTACAGCCCGTGGCTGTTGCTGCGCCGTTCAAACAGCCGTTGACCTTGTCGATGAGACCATGCAAGTCTTTCACGAGGCTTGCCCTCGCCATCAGCTCAAGTTCGGCCAGGTCTGGAATGATGTTGGGTTTAGCTCCCCCTTTGCTGATGATGGCTGGAAATCAGAACACATGTATGTTGGTCAACATAGTCATTCTAACGGTCATGACATTGGTCAATATAGTCACTCTAACGGTCATAACATTGATCAACATAGTCATTCTAATGATCATAACATTGGTCAATATAGTCATTCTAACGGTCATGACGTTGGTCAACATAGTCACTCTAACGGCCATGACATTGGTCAATTTAGTCACTCTAACACAGTCATGACATTGGTCAACATAGTCACTCTAACGGTCATGAAATTGGTCAAAATAGTCATTCTAACGGTCATGACGTTGGTCAACATAGTCACTCTAACGGCCATGACATTGGTCAATATAGTCATGCTAACGTCCATGACAGTGGTCAACATATTCACTCTAAAAATCATAATAGTTGTAAATCGGTCAACAAAGCCGTTAATAATAATTTCGTCAACATATTCATTTTATCGATCAGTGGCTGGTCAGTTGTTCATTGTATCGATCAGTGGCTGGTCAGTTGCATTACATTTAAAACAGGCTTATTTGCTCCTCAGAAACAATTAAAAAATTTTATTATTATTAGTGATCTTATATATATATTAAGTCTTGTAAATGACTAGGAAATGTAGCGGAAATCTCTCTCGGCTGGAAAAACTCCAGCTTATTGATAGGGATAAGAAATGAAGGACTGCGTTCAATCTGTGTGAAGGAAATAGTGGAATAATGTATTTGAAAGCTTGAAATAGAAATTCTAGAAACTGCATCACTCAATGTCATTCTTCAGAACAAATTAGAACGAAAATAACCATTCCCCAATCAACGAAGGAAAAGGAGTGATACGACACTACACATTTAATAGGTGACGTCAGTATCAAAACAAAAGAGGGGGAGGCAAGTGGTGGACAAAAGCTATATCAGCACACAGGCTATAACCAACGTTAAAGCTGAAATGCTGAAATTGGGTAAATAATATTTATTTTTAAACTTTAAAAAAAAAAATGTTGTTTTTTTAAACGCAACAACCATTTAAAATTTTTCGTAATTTGACTGCTACGCTCATTTATAACTTACAATCCATCGAAGACAACACCAGTACACGTCATCACTCCCTCTATGAAGCGCCATGGGAAGTTATCATGATGGAGTACGCACCTCCCCCGTATTTGACACACGCCACGTGGTTGCATTGCTCCAGCGTATGTTATACAAATTAACACATTTAAAGATTACATTATCCTAGTCTAGTCACTGCATGTACAGACCGCATGTGGACCCGGAAACGCTATCCTTTGTCTGTACGCAAATGTTATACGACGTGCGCATTGCGTACGATAGTAATAATAAGTATAGAAAATAAAATAAAAAACGTTAGTTCGAATAACCGAAGTTTCGGATAAACCGCGTTTGGAAGATCGTAGCTCTACTGCACTGATAATTTGGGGGAGCAATTTTCTGAGTTCGCGCCCGAACGGCATTTAGACAAGGATCACCCCTGCAGTGGCGCGACCTATACGCGGGTACATACGGTTTGTTAAAGGTAAACTTGATCATGGAGATCTTCTTGAAATATAAAACAAATTTTCAACTTGGTTGTAACTGTCATGGTTTTTTTTTTTTGGGGGGGGGGGGGCTTAAGACTATTGGAAGTAATCTGACGGGACGGGGGTCAGTCCGTAGGGCCTGCGGATACCACTGACCGTGTAGACGTGAGGTTGGCTTGATCTGTTGCCTGAGGGCTGATATCCCGTTGTAGGCCTGGACGGCCGCGTCCAGGGCATTGACCCCTTCCCACGGGAAGGCGGAGGCATGGGCCGGTTTGCCGTGATACGTCACCTTGCCCCTTGGGGAGAGAAAGGTCAACACAGGTCATGCCACCATAGACACCCTACGATTTATTTACGTCCTATTGCTCAACTTGCCCAAATGGATTAGTGTCAACATAATAAATGAAGTACTGCGTTCAAGCTGTGTGAAGGAAATAGTAGAACGGGGTATATGGAGGCATAAATCGAATGACAGGAAAGTAAGAGAAGAACGTTTCGGCCAAGAGCCTCCCTCGGCAGACATGACTTTGATGAAAATCCAACTTCCGGCAATAACAATGGCAAACATTTAAGTTTTTAACCACTGGCTATTTCTTGTCGTATTTTCATTTGTCCTGTCTGCTGAGGAAGGCTCTTGGCCGAAACGTTCTTATCTCATTGTCCTCTCTTTCTATTTCAAGTTTCCTGTTGTACTTTTTTCTTTGTTGTAATAATGACCAGTAGGTTTTTGTAATAATGACCAATAGATTGTTGTAATAATGACCAATAGATTGTTGTAACAATGACCAATAGATTGTTGTAATAATGACCAATAGATTGTTGGAATAATGACCAATAGATTGATGGATTAATGACCAATAGATTGTTGGAATATGACCAATAGATTGTTGTAATAATGACTAATAGATTGTTGGAAAATGACCAATAGATTGTTGGAATAATGATCAGTATATCATTGTAATAATGACCAGTAGGTTAATTGTAATGACCAGTAGCCTACAGATGTCATTTATGACCATAGCTTACAAATGTCATAATGACCAGTAGCTTAAAGACGTCATTTATAACAGTAGCTTACAGACGTCATTTATGACCAGTAGTCTACAGACGTCATTTATGACCAGTATCTTACAGTCGTCATAATGACCAGTAGTTTACAGACGTCATTTATGACCAGTATCTTACAGTCGTCATAATGACCAGTAGCTTACAGTCGTCATTTATGACCAGTAGTCTACAGACGTCATTTATGACAGTAGCTTACAGTCGTCATAATGACCAGTAGCTTACAGACGTCATTTATGACCAGTAGCTTACAGACGTCGTTTATGACCAGTAGCTTACAGACGTCATAATGACCAGTAGCTTACAGACGTCATAATGACCAGTAGCTTTCAGACATCATTTATGACCAGTAGACTTCAGACGTCATTTATGACCAGTAGCCTACAGACGTCATTAATGACCAGTAGCTTACAGACGTCATTTATGACCAGTAGCTTACAGACGTCATTTATGACCAGTAGCTTACAGACGTCATTTATGACCAGTAGCTTACAGATGTCATTTATGACCAGTAGCTTACAGAGTCACTTATGACCAGTATCTTACAGACGTTATTTATGACCAGTAGCCTTCAGACGTCATTTATGAACAGTAGCTTACAGACGTCATTTATGACCAGTAGACTTCAGACGTCATTTATGACCAGTAGTCTTCAGTCGTCATAATGACCAGTAGCCTACAGACGTCATGTATGACCAGCTGCTTACAGACGTGCGGCCAAGATGTCCATGTGGTTTCTGCTGAAGTTCGATGGGTGGCACATCATCGCCACGTCGACGTCATCGAAAGCCCCGGCGTCGATAAGAACCTGTTTACCACATCCTCCTTCTTCTGCTGGAGTGCCGAGTATGGTTACCTAGAGTGAATCACCAAAACAAAATAAGAGGTAACAGTATAGCATATTTTCTGTTACACATCCATTACTAATTTTAATATTCAGCAACGGGTTTGGAGGGGGGGGGGAGAACTCCTAATATTATTATGTTGATAACACCCATTTGTGTGGTGTTGTGTTTTCATAAAGACAACGTAAGATTTGTTCCACTCAATCTTTCTTTTGTAAACTTAATTTCGTCTCATAAACGTTACGGGTGAAATATTAACTTTGGAAATAACTCTTAAACAATTTTTTTTTACTTGTCTTGAGCAGGATTTTTAATCGTTTGTAATTTACGGCCAGTCCGTTAAAAAAAAAAATGACCTAAAATGAATTGTTCGGAATGCCCCCTAGAAATTTAGGAAATAGGTAAAAACATTGTATTTTTGTACACAATCTTTTTTTTTTAAAATTCATTTCTTGTGCTTTGTAATTATAAATTGATTGAAACTTGTATATCCATGCTCAAGAGAAATTGAACATTGAGAAAGATTAAGATAATTTTATGAAGTATGCCCAAGCCTGATACTGATGGTCAAATGACAGTGTGTCGTCGTACACAGACATAAAATAGTCGTAAGGATTAGGGTATGATTTGAATTTTAAAATTTTAGCTTTGAAACTTTATTTTAAAAGTGTTTCCTTTTGCTGATGAGCAGCAAAAAAATTGCAGATTAAAAATATATGGCTTAAATGTTTCATGATTATTTTTTAGTCAGCAACCATGGTGTTGGGCAATTTTCCTCATTCAAATCTTTAAGCCATTTTTTCGGCACATTACTGAAATCCTACAGAGTGCATGGCTAAAAGCTAACGAAATACACGTATTTGTAACATATTTCAAACTTTTTTTATTTTTTAAATGGAGGTTCTCAAAAAATCAGCTCTTATTGGTCTCCTCATTGTGTTGGGACAAAACCATTTAATAACTGTTTACCTTTCCCATTGGTTTCTCAAACTTTTCTAAGGCGGCTTTGACCCCAATCCCAGCGGCCGCGCCCGCCTGAGCGATCAGGTTGTGGCCACATCCATGTCCGATCTCAGGTAGGGCATCATACTCACAGATGATGACGACATTAGGGACTTTAGTATTATTGCCTGTTGAGAAGAAACTAACATTATCATTATTATTTCTGATTATGTGTACGCCTAAGAGTAGCATATTAGTGGGAATTTGTAAGTAAGAGTCTGCTTGTTTTATTCCCACCTAGACTAAGGTATTGATGTGTCGTGTTGTAAAGTGTAACGGGATGTCGGATGTGCCATAAATGTATGGTGTGTCGCGATGTCAGGTTGTCGTGATATAAAGTGTATCGTGATGCCAGGTGCACCACGATGTCAAGTGTGCCGTGATGCCAGGTCTGTCTTGACGTCAGGTGTGTTGTGATATCAGGTATGACATTATGGAAGAACTCCCACATCTCTCCTTCATCTTGACCATCAGTGTCTCATCCAGCTCAGCTATGAAAAGTGAGGGAGACGCTAGTGTGCGGTGAGATCTTTTTTCTCCAATCAACTAATTTCAAAATTTTGATAAGCTTTAAGAAGACCTTGCTAAGGCTTCTTAATTTACTGGGGATATACTGGAGTATAATTGACGTCTTCAATCCTTTATTTTTGAAAAATTACATTTGTTAAGTTTTAAATTTAAATAAGCATCAGGGTGTTCAATTGTTATAAACTCAACATCATTTTTGTTATGGCATCCGTCCGTCACAGTGTGGCGATGGTGTAGACCTCGCAGGATGAATCCCAAGGCATGGGATTGTTCTTTATGAGTATAAGCTGGTTCCCTACACAGCAAATCGCCTCTCTCCACGCACCTGGATAACCCAAGGGAACATCATATGTGAATGAATCGGGTTTATACCATTAGCGTCCGCAGGAGTTGCCTAACTTTTATTGCGTCAATGTTATCCGCCTACGGGACTCCATCTCCGGGTTTGAATTCAGAGGGTTTTTTTTCTCTTGTCTCTTAGATGATTTGCCGTCAAAGATTAACGGTTCCCATCCACCCGGTTCGCTGGTGACGTTTTTTCTTGTCTAATCTTTGGCGTCCCGTGGGCGGATAACATTGGTACAGTGAAACATCCCGGCAACTCAAGCGACGCCGCTGGGGCCAAGCTGTATCATCCACATGATGTTCCCTTGGGTCATCCAGCGGCGTGGAGAGAGGCGATTTGCTGTTGGGAACCAGCTTATAATCCTAGAAGTATCATCCCAGGCCTTGTGGATTTCGTCCAGCGAAGTCCTCACCATCGTCACGTTGTGACGGATGGATGCCCGCCGCCAGCAGCATATTTTCAAACATTTTTTAATCGTAAACATAAGCTTGTTAATCAATCACTATTGCAGAGTTTTAAATGAAACAATAATTTATTTACCGTCATGTGCACATTCCCATGTCGCCCTGAAGGCGGTGTCCAGATTTTTGTACCGTCTCTCAACGGCGAATCCCCTTTCTTCCAGGAAATCGGTCAGTGCGTCGTGGGCGACCTTCTCTTTAAACAGCAACTCGGGGTTGGCCCATATCACCTGACTTAACTTGTGCAAACTGTCCGCTTCATCATCGATGGCTGAACAGCAAGCTGTCGCTAAAACCTGGTCCATGGTTGCCTGTCTCCACTACGAATGATACACTCTACACTTGACCTCACCGCATGTTATAGATATGAAGGCTTATGACATTCATGGGATTATTGCGATGGTTCCCAAAACCTTGCATTCATCCGGCCTAAAACAAACGCCATCCTTGTCTTGGTCTGTGTTAACACATAGATGGACTTCATGCTACAACAAAACTCTTTCGTTTCAAACTGTTGTTTTGTTATTGTTGTCGTTATTATAATATTATTGCTCTTAAATGCACCTGCTATCTAGCCATTCCCTCCACTTTTATCAAACAAGCAACGGAGGAGATGGGGGTGACAATGCACCCGTATTTCATAACTTAAAAAGTCAGATCTTAGATAATTATAAAATATTAAGTAGACAAATAAAAATTGATATTAAGAAACATGAAACGAAACATTTCATCAGTAGCAATTCTCCTTACAAAGGGTGCAAAGAAAGCACAGCCGCTGGTTCGATTTAGAAGGGCAATCCCTGTCGATTAGCAACTGTAACGAAAGCTGTTAACAAGCGCCAACTAGCAACCGTGACGGTTGACTCATCGATTCAACGGGGTTTACCGTGCTCTGGCCTTAAATTGCCAGCTGTCTTTCTACAGCGGTGTTCTCCCGGCCATCGGCAGACCGGTTCCGGTCAGCCCAAAAATGTCCTGCCCGGACGATGTAAACGTTATTACCCAAAATCAGTCTCACCTGGTCAGTTCGGTGCTAATACTTTTTCAGCCATGTCAAAATTTTTATTTGTATTATTTTTTTTTAATACAGCGCCTCGGCTCTCAGAAACAGCTTTTCAATTCAGTGGCGTAGCTAGGGTAAGTGCCGCCCTAGATTAATGCCACCTCCTTTCACTTTAAAACTGTACAGTCTGGGCGGAAAAATGCCATGTCTCCATACAAAGAAAAAAAGTGCCACCTGTGGCTAAAAACACCCACCGCAACCCTTTCCTATGCCGCTGCCTTGCATCATCTACGATTGTCAAATACTATTCTAGTGCTCGTAGTAGTAGTTGGTTAATCAGGCTTACTAAAAAAAGAATCAGATACAGATAGCCCAAAACTGTATTAGAATTATTATAGAATTTTTTCCTTTAACTTCAAGTTGCAACACTATGCGTATTTTTTTTCTCCTGAGTATTTATTTTTTTTATTTTTTGTTTAATCTTTTTAATTAATTTAAAATATTATATTTAAAAGCTAATAAAAATAAACTATCTGCTTACAGCCTGGCTACGGCTAAGCTTACAGCATGGCTACGGCTAAAATTTCCGCGAAACAGTGGCGTAGCTAGGTCTTATGCCACTGGGGCGGACCATGATTTTGCCGCCCCTCAAACGAAAAAAATCTATGTAGTTTTCCGAATAGACCGCCCTCAGGATATATTTAAACATTTCCGACTGGGGCGGACAGTTACCTCCGTGCCCCCCACTTCCTTTGCCAGTTTCCCAGAATCTCTCTCCTATCTTCAGTGCTTGTTTTAAGTGTTGAAAACCACTGTTAATAATTCATCTGCCAAGCAGAAAATGTCTATAGCTGATGGTCCTGAGTGGATGGTTGTTTGCCGCGTTATTACTGCGCAAAATGCTGCAATATCATTCGCTGCGTCCCCCGACGTGCGCTTGATCACGTGCGCATTAAATGCACACACCGCAAGAAAAATTTTGATTAAACAAACCCTAAAGACAAAGTTGTTGTTTTTCTAATCAATCCTTTATAAAGTGTAACATACAGCGAGCAATTAAAAACAAGAAAACTGATTTTGGTGGTTGGCGCTGAAAAGTTTTTAGAATGCTTGGTCATGAACCTCGACCCTATGTGCTGAGTTTCAGCTCGATACGTTGACGGGAATGGGGTAAATCATCCGTCCGAAGATTGTTGCCAGCCAGCCACAAACAAAAGCGAAGTTAACGTAAAGGATTTAAAAATTGCATGCTGTTGTTCGTCAGTCGGGAGTCGGCCATGACCACTTTAATCATCAGATTTCAGCTAGTTGTGCTAGTCTGTGGGTGCGCAGATGGCTAATGAGAACGATTCTGGCACGAAATTTTCTCGTGAATTGTGTGCAGGGGAATGAAAGGGCGTCTCCTGGAGCAGAGTCAGACCGGGCCTTCCTGGCATGTCTCTTGCACTCTGCAGCCTCTGTTCTGCCAGCTTCGTGTTGCATGAGCTCCTGTGTAAAAGTTGAACCGGGAACGCCATGATGTCAGTACACGCAAAATGGCACCATTAGCCTTCAACACCGAGCGAAAACCTCATCAGCACCCGTCACTACCCAGTCTATTTCGAGTAAATCCAACTAAGCAATGAGTGGATTTATGTAGCGCCATCTGAGTTTATTATTCTAGAGCAGCGGTTCCCAAACTATCTTATTTCGTGACCCGGTTATTTGTATGCTTCTTTTTCGGCCTACACTGGCCTACTACGAGACTAATCTGGCCTACTACGAGACTATACTAACCTATTACGAGCATGTACTGACCTATGTGTAAAGTACAAAAAATATGAATGTCCACTCAGTTTTCCTATAGATGCGTTTTAATAAAACATTTACTCATACAAGAATGTGAAGACTAAGTTATTCAAGTGCTCGTCATCGCAATCTAACCTAGTTTTTCCAACGTGTTTTTTTTTTTCTTATTTGGACGACCCGGTCATTTTGCTTTCTCGGCCCGGTACCAGGTCGTGACCCGTTGTGTTGGGAGACGCTGTTCTAGAGCATGCACGTCTTCGCGTAGCTCACACGCACAACATGGTTGCGTGGCCCCCAGCTGGTGTGTATGCATATAAACCGACCGAATTTCGGCATCGGATCCGGTTTCGGCGCCGAAAGTAGCCATTTTATCACTTCCGGCCAAGTTTTGGCTTCGGCTGGAACTGAAAGTTAGAGAAAAGTTAACTTTCGGGGCTTTTTTTCGGTTTCAGCCGAAATTGACTTTGACTTTCGGCCAGCCGGACGAAAAAGACTGAGGTTTTCGGTCATCTAATTCTCAGCAAAAGCGATATTTAACAACAAACTAAGCTACATTTAAGAACAAACTAAACGATCTTTAAAACAAACTAAACGATCTTTAAAACAAGCTAAACGATCTTAAAGAACTAAGCGATTTTTAAGAACGAACTAAATGATCTTTAAGAACAAAACAAATTATCTTTACTAGTAAACTAAATGATTTATAAGAATAAACTAAGCGATCTTTAACAGAAAACTAAATGTTCTTTAGGAACAAACTAAAAGATCATTAAGAACAAGTAGTCGATTTTAAGGAACAAAATCAATTATCTATAAGAACAAACTAAGCGATCTTTATGAAAAAACTAAACGATCTTCAACAACAAAATAGCGGTCTTTCAAAACAAACTAAACTATTTTTAATAACAAAATAAAAGATCTTTAAACAAAAACTAAGCGATCTTTAAGAACAAACTAAGCGATCTTAAAAAACAATATAAGCGATTTTTAACAACAAACTAAGCGATCTTTATGAACAAACTAATCGATCTTTAAGAACAAATAAAGTGATCATTAACAAAAAACTGAACGATCTTTAGCAACAAACTAAGCGATCTTAAAGAACAAACTAAACGATCTTTAACAACAAGATGTTATATTAGATGTTTATTTATTAATATTCACGATTATCTCATTTTTTATAAAAAGAATGTAAATATTTATACTTTCCCCATCATTTTCGATGTATGCAGAATGTATGCGGGAACGAATTTCAAAATATCTAAATATTTCATTTTCAGTTTCGGCCGAAAGTCATTTTTAACTTTCGGCCTTTTTTCGGTTTCGGTCGAAAGTCATTTTAAACTTTCGGCCTATATTCGGCTTCATCCGAAATCAGAAAATCACTTTCGGTCGGTCTCTAATATATACTTTATACTTTACAATATAACACCTTGGCTGGAGCCACGTACCAGTGGTAAGAGTTATCATCTTATGTGGATGGTGGGCGACGGACCCCGTGCCACTAAGTTGAGATTGCTGGCATTTCACAAGTCCTGTTCATGTTGTCAGCAGTGCAATGAATTTCATTTGAACCACAGCAACCAAACGACTCTATCAGCAGCAGGTTTTAAAGACGTCTGAATAGTGCAGGTTTCATGATCTTTGAAAAGCCATCGTGACATAATAGCCTACAGCAGAGGTGTGTTGCCAATCATGAAAAGTTATCGTAAAAAAGCCTACAGCAGCCTGTTGGGGGCCGGACAATTATTTTTTTAAAATAAATATGAACGAACGTCTATACAAACCGCACAACGCACATATCTTTGTCTTATTTGTAGGGAACAAAAACATAAACAAACAATATAATATTTAAAAAGAAGAACAATTTAATCAATTCAATGCTTTTGACTAAATAGTTATAGATGGTCAATTTACGGTTCGATATTTGTCACTGCTACCCGGGTACCCGTAAGGCGGCCAGGCGGGCCGGGTTAAGGACACTTGGCGGGCTGATCTAGCCCACGGGCCGTAGTTTGAGGACTCCTGGTCTAGAGTATTTTTAGATAAATATAACCTGTCCTAGAATCAGTGCGTAAAAAGATACGAAATAAAAATCATATAAGGGATTCCCGAAAAGACTGGATAAATATCATAGCTGTGAACACATCTGAAATGGCAGATTAATCTAAAACGGGTCTGATGGCAGATTAATCTAAAACGGGTCTGATGGCAGATTAATCTAAAACAGGTCTGATGGCAGATTAATCTAAAACGGGTCTGATGGCAGATTAATCTAACACGGGTCTGATGGCAGATTAATCTAACACGGGTCTGATGGCAGATTAATCTAAAACGTACTGATGGCAGATTAATCTAACACGGGTCTGATGGCAGATTAATTTAAAACAGGTTTATGCTGATGAGAACGTTTGATGTATGTCAGTGTGACTTAAGTCAAATTTCCACAGGTGTTAGTGTTGATTTTTCAAGTCGTTAATTTGAAGTCACTGGACCGACAATATGTCGTCCTTTAATAACAAAATTTGTAGGTGCAGTTGAGCCAGCCTGCAACAATGGAACACTCAAACATGTGATGGTTGATAACAAAGTGAATAAGCTGCTTATAGCTCAAGCGCTAACGACTCATTAATTGTACAGGACACAATTAGTGATGTACTGAACGGACTGACAAACATTCCGGCATGCGTGATTATTGCAGACGGACAATCGTACATCACACAGCCAGGGGAGGGGGAGAGAGAGAATTACTATAAACAATTATTCAATTTTAACAATGTTGAAATTAAAATATAGTGCAACGTAAAATGGCATATTAATAACAGGATAGCATTTAATATTCCGTCTAAAATTGCAATTGTCTATGTATACTAACATCTATAGTCTATAGTCTGTGATGCACCTTAGTTTCCCACTAGAGTTCACTAACTGTAGACTATGTATTCTAACATCTAGTCTATGATGCA